GKWWTAGACTCTTGTTTTTTTGGGTGTAATCTTACATTTTTCACTTCCAAGATCTCACTAGTAATTATCCTTATTGTCAACCATGTCTATCATACATTTCTTGTGTAAGTTTGGTTAACTTGGTATTGGACCAACTAATTGATATTTTTCTAGCTCTTCTCCTTGCTTGTTTTATTGATATTGTATTGATATATCCTAAAGAGAGAGTCTGTATTGCGCATTCAAAGGAATCAAAGGGTTAAAGAGAAAGGGAGCAACAATATTCATTTCCCTTGTTATATGTACTAGAAGCAGCCTTCTTAAAGAGTTAAAGGTTCCATGCCCGAACACACACACACACACACACACACACACACACACACACACACACATAAAAAAAAAAAACCAGAAAATCCACAAGATTAAATGCACCTGTATCATAACATCTCAGCGAATTGTCTGCAAGAGCCACCAACACTTCATTTTTTCTCCTCAAACAGAAGGAAAGGGCTGTACAAGGAGTTCCTGTTTTGTGGATTAAGGAAAACCTGGAGACAAAAGAGAAAGTAGGATTGTTGACAACCTCTTGAAATCCATGATATACTTCAACACATTCCAAGGGGTAATGGTAGCACATTTTGTTTGTAGACTATGGAAGTATATAGGAATGCATATGCTTTGCTTTTGGAGTGCATTTTAAATTCCTACAAGCAACTATTACAGGGCTGCAAAGGTGCGATGAAAGCTACAGTGGGCACATTAAAATGTTACTCCAGAGAAAAGGGAGATAAAAAGTAGCTCAGGTATGGAGCAGAACACTCTTTTGTCTTGACTTGACTTTGCAAGATTTCTTGGGGATATGGTGTTTTTCTGTAATTATAGGAAAGGGTTAGCATTTCCCATGGTTAAGGTTTATTTTAGAACTCAAGGAGGACATTTGTTACATATGTTGTTAAGTAAGCTCTCTCTCTCCCCCACCCCACCTACCCTCTCTTCCTCCTACATTCCCCGGACTACATGTACAGCTGTACAATATCTTACAAAGTAAGCCTGTGCGCACATAGTCACCATCTGCACAGGACACAACAAAAAAATATATCATCTTGTACCACTTAAAATTGAAATAGCAGCTGGCTTCTTTTCAAGCGCTTAAGTTCAATCCTTAGGGTGGTTAGGAGGAGATGAACACAACTGATATCGGGCACAAAGTTATAAGCTTAGATGGCTTAATGCGCGATAAATCTTTGCACTCACCTATTTTTGATTAAATCGAAGACAAAAATATTTCCTTGGTGGTCGCCGGCTGCAAAGGCTTCACCTGTTGAACTGAACGCCGTTCGAAGGAATCTGATATTTCTTCCTTGTAACGAGAAAGCACTTGATGTGGAATGACTGATGCAGACTACCAAACTGTAAAGGATCGAAACGTAACAGTAGCCAAAATAAACACAATTTTTGCAACTTCTGATTCCAGTTTTAAACAGACCACATCATGAAAATCTCACCCCTCTTCTGGAGAAGGAGATGGTTTTCGCTGCCATATCTTTCCTTCCTCTTTCTTGTAAACGTCCAAAGTTTGCATGACGTCTTTGTTTTCTTAAGGAAAATGTTGAGCACGTAAATTCGTTTCTCCCGCCATTTTGAATCTGCCTCTTGCTTGGTAACCAGGCTTTACTGCACCGACTCCCAGGCCATTTGCACAAGCTTTTAGCGCGAAAGAGCAAATGTGACAGAGTTCGTCCTCTGCTTAGCCTGGTTACGTCCGCTAAAACGACCTACCAACTTTTCCGAAAAAAAACAAAAATATGTATAGGGAAATCCTCATCAAAATTAACATTTAAAATGAAGTTGTGTCGCTCAAATCGCCTTGAAATCTAATACATGAGTGTGAATATAGGTTTTGCACAGCAGCCATGTTGGATGGCAGGAACAATGAAAATATTTTGCATAAGAAAGAAATTTTTTTCCCATGGGTAAAATAATCTATTGTTCCTGCCATCCAACATGGCTGCTGTGCAAAACCTCTATAGCACCATCATGATTCAGTGCTCAATGCAGACTACCTTGTCACAAGTCCTCAAACACAATATACCAGTGTACTAGGCTAGTTCAGCATCTACTACTCAGGCCCCTATCCCCCCAACCTTTCCCGGTAAACCACATAAAAAGGGAATTTATTTGCAGACATCCTCAGATTACAACAAGATTAAAAAAAAAAGTCAGTGGCGATCGAAAACACTCTTTCAATTCAATACCTTCCAATGCCTTCGGTAAAATAAAGATATTTCTCATGAAATCATAAATATAATGCTCTAATTAGAATTACAGGAATATAATCGACCTCACTACAAGATTGAATCATAGTAAGAAAAACGTAAACAACGTAGAGACCATTTTGAAATCTATCTTTTTATTTCGAAATAAATAAAATCTGTAACAACTTAAATAGCTTAAAACAATCTCTTTATCGAGATGAATCAAATCTTTTTTAAATGCTTTTTTAACTTGACTTCCAGGAGATATCAAACTTAACCGATAAAAATGTTTCTCAAATCGAAACTGTTGTTTATCTTTATCACATTCTATGCGAAAAATCTGCGTAGAAAATCTCTGCAGACACGAGCAAATGACGTCACGAATATATGGTTATGACTTCTCGTCCTCCCCCACGCACCATAAGCACACGGTCCAATCCTTCTGTTAGCTCGTCCAGAAACTCCATATCTGTTACACAGTCAAGGGCAATTTCGTCCCAAACAACCCACTACCTTCCTTTGGGTCGTTTTTTCCTCATAACTTTTGAGAGAAAATCTCTTCACTGGCCTGCAGGTCGTGAAACTATTTAAACTATTGCAACAACTGCTGAAACTGTACTAAAATTCACAAGAAACACAGAAATCCAACTAGTTGAGATTATGGATGATTTAAAACAGACCGTTTACGGTAAACGTGAGTCAACGCGACCTTTTTTGGGTTTCGTGTAAAAGACTTGGATTTGAAACAGACATGTGCCCTTGAGATAAGTTCAAATAGCTGAAATTTAAAGTGAGGGTAATGAAACGAAGGCCTGCTACATTAGAAATCTGTCTCATTGGTCTACAAGAAAGTCAACTGGCAATCTACATTTAAGGCGTGAAACAACAACAACAACCACGAAAGAGGATACAGTGTAGCCAATCGTTTTCCTCTGCCGGTGCTCCAGGTAAATTGATTACGAGAAGCTGAGTTCCTGCTGACTTGTCTTTTACAAGCTGATTCAGTTTCACTGCTGTGTTCATTCTTTGCAGATTCTTCTCCTTCCTACAGAATACCGTCACAGGCAAGATAAGATCAGCATGAAAAAAGGTCCAAAACTTTTATAAAAAGTAAATTCAAGCACGATGTCTACCGCAACGGCAAACCGCGAAAAGGCTAAACGAATAATGATTTGACTCAATTTCTAACGCTCATATTTTCATTGGGAGCAAAAATTGACTTTAATATAATGTGTTCTTTCTACTCTACTTTTGAGTAACAGACACTGTGTGATGAATAGAGCCAAACCTAGCCTTGCACTAAATCACGAGGAATACAATGGAGAGGCCTCAACTTCCCTAATAACAAAGAAATAAAGCAGTTTTTTTTTTATGTATTGCCGGTGAAAAAGATACTTACGGTGTTCCTCTCAAACTTGCTTTCCCATCCACTGCACTTTGGCCGTCATTTGTATATGAAGTGATTCCGGGCTGTGTCTCTTTATCACTGTCTTTATTTTTATCCACAATAACGTCCTTGCCACGTAAGGTAAAAATTAAGTCACGTTCCGGAGTGGAACTGTATACGTTTGTTTTGTTCCTATCTAAGTCGCCTTCTGTTGTACAGTCGTCGCTTTTAGTTGAGGGTTCCTCCGAAATCTTCATGTTACTATCAAATGAACTCAAACCCTGCTCGTCAGAGTGCGACTCCTTGCCAGGGTTACTCCTGTTCTCCATTTCTCTACCAGTTCTATTATCGGAATTTGACCGTCTTCCGGACAAAGATCGCCTCCGGTAAGAATGCTCTACAACGTCTTGAATTTCACGTTTGCTTTCTTTTCGAGATAAGTGCATCTCGCGTAACATTTGATGCCTCTGTTCCATCAATAACGTGCGCTCGTAAGTGTACTCTGAGATATCTTGGTCCATCTGAAGTGAAGAAACGATAATTACAGAGCAATCCCGACTCTTTGCAACCTTCAGGGCAAAGGAAATCGGCAAATTGGTTCGAAAAGTCCACGGGGGAGAGGGACGGTGGAAGATTACGGTATTTGATTTCGGGAAGAAAGGAATATGAGGATCGAATAATCGCGGGGAGTTTCTAAGAGAAGGGGGGTACAGAAAACGGAATTCTACAGTTCATCTTTCATTGGCTGCTAAATGCGGCCGAGAGCCCTCTGTACAATAATGAATGAAAACTGCAACCACTAAATATTGAAAAAAAATTCAGAAAATTTACTCTAGCAGCCAAAACCGGCATACTTCACTTGTGATGGCGTTGTTTTCTGTTTAAACAAGAGTTGTTTGAGCCAGAGCTAAAAACTTTAAATTTCAAATTTGATATAATCTAAGGCATTTGTGTGACTGGAGGTACTTGTTGTGCCGCAGTGATACAAACACCTGTAAATGTGCACAATTTCTGTCTTTATCAGTTTCCTCACGAAATGAGTGGAATTGAATTGACAATCTTAGAACTACTATCAGAATCACCTACTCTCCTGACATAGGGACTGTTTTTCTATAGATCTTTTCTATCGACCCTTAATAAAAAGAGGTAATGGGATGAAAGAGACAAATGATAACATTTTAAAACTGTTTACCCACCATTTCAATGACTTCAACTTGTGCCTTGATTCTAAGTTGGTACATAAAAGATTCCAGATCCTTCTTCATTTGAATGCTGTTGTCCTCGAGTTCTAAATTCGTTTGGTTAAGAAAGCTTTACAAGACAGTTAACAATACAGACCTCAAATCAAAACAGATCACCATAGGTACACAGACGGAATGCGTAAGACATGATACGGGAAAAAAATCTTCATTCTCCTTGTTTCGACGAGACGAAATTGTGTTTTAAACGAAAAAAAGCCAATCCACAACGACAGAAAAACTCATAGGTCCGACATCTTGGAGCGCTTAACAAAAAATAAAAATGACCCTCTTTCTATAACAACCTATCTGAATATATTAGTAAAATCAAAAAATAAAAGCGTGCGGCATTGTTCGGCCTTCCCAACGGAAAGCGCCACGCCAATCAACAGGCGTTCGTCGGAACACTCCTCGTACCCCTCCCGTACAGTCTACAAGTTCATTTCTTTTTCTTTCTTTCTTTCTTTCTTTCTTTCTTTCTTTCTTTCTTTCTTTCTTTCTTTCTTTCTTTCTCTTTCTTTCTTTCATTCTTTCTTGGGAAAAGCAATTGCATCCTGTTTTCCACTGAAAATTCCGCGTTCAATAAAAAGATTAAAGGCAGCCCAAAGTACAAAGTAACCGGTCTTTTTAGGGGCCAGCCATTTAACTTTTGAGGGGGTGAGTACGAGTGGGTGATTTCTGGTCATCAAGAAATTTTTTTTTCTAGCAATCTGCTGTGCAGGTTTTTTTTTCCCGATTTTTTGGTACATTTTTTCTGTTACATTTAGACTGCATGCAATTTTTTTGTTCCAACATTCGCTTGGAGGAAACCTTTCTTTCTTTTTGGCACAATTTAACTGACATAACGGCCCGTTACATTCTGCTCTTTAACCCATCTTCCCTCGTTTCTTGAAAACTTACAATATACCATGGTAGGTTCCTGAGACTTTCTGGTACTCCGTCCTACCCGTGTTACACATTGCCTCGTCCCTGAGTGTCCAACACATGTTTTTCATTTCCTTTAAGATGACTAAAACCACATCTTGAACTATGAGAAGCATTACTCTATCCAGGGTTCGTCCCTTTTTTCAGAACAAATTTCAAGGACCTTCATTCCAGGACTTTTCCTTTATCGACCAGCAAGTAGTCAAAGGATACGCGCTACTGTAAAAATCCTCAGATTACATTTCCTCCAAACTTTATGATGTTTTAAAAGGAAGAGGATCAGGATCATTAAACCCCCGTCATGAACTATCCACCAAACGTCCACATTGCCTTCCAAGCGTTCTGTGTTGCTAGGGAACGAGTCTATTTTACGCGCAACGAGTAGGGCTTGTTGACTCTTGGAAACGGCTCGGACGGTATCTATAATTTAAAGAAAATAGGACAATTTGAGTTGAATTTCGAAAGTGATCTTTGATTGGATTCACTGGATTCAAGGACTAAATTGGTACGGGTTCAACCTTGAAAGAATGAAAAGGAATTAAATTTTCAGAGAGTATATTTTGTTTTACTAACGGACAAAACTCTTCCACTGCGCTTTTTCTCGCCAGTTTTCGGGCCATGTGATCATCTGGGTATTGGGTTCCAGGCCTCCAAGGCCAGAACTCTGCGTCCTGAAGAAGAAGTATACAAGATAACTATCTTGAATCGGTAAAAAACCAAACATTGAAACAAACTGAAGTTTAAGTCGTTTGGACCTGGTGGTAAAAATAGAAATAATGTTAGGAAAACCAATTAACTATCGCTCAAATAATGATCCATGCCTGGTTGCCGTTCGTTCAAATTTGAAACTGTTCAATAAAAAATAGCGAATTCTCATGAAACCCGATTGTTCAATCAAGGTTAGAAAAGAAAGAAATACGCGCACTTCTTATACTTACAGGAATGAAATCCCCTCTGTCACTTTGGAGGCCACGATCACTTTCATAAAACCTCTTACTTTTTCTTCTTTCATACAGCCTTGCAAAACCTGCCGATTGTCAAAATGTCACCGAGGAACAGTACTCTTTGCAAAAGTCACATTCACGACAAAACTAATCCGGTTCTCCTGCTTGTTTGTCTGCATGTTTGTTGTTTGCTGCCTTATCAAAAATGACAGTGTACATTTACATCGCGACGTGCTTGACGTTGTATTAGATTTTCAACGTGCTTGCAAAAGTCACCTATCTTTTCTTCCAACCTTTGCTAATATGCCGTCTTTGCCTTGTTCAAGTATAAAGTAGCTGAGTCACCCGCATATATTTTTTAGTTGTTTTAATCACCAATACCGTTAACTTTCCTCGCCCTTCTTTCTAGGCAATTATTATCTACATTCTCATGTTTTTTTTATTTTTTTATCAATCATCTAAGGTGATTGTCCCGAAGTAGCCCTTGAACCTTTACACCTTTAAGTTCTAAACGTCACAAAATTCTCCGCTCTGCCTGCCGTCAGTATTTTTATCATAATTTTAGCTCTTAGCACTTGGTGATCAGCCCATACCTTAATCTACTCCTTACCTCCTTTGCCAAAGCTACATCTTCTGTTCTTTCTTTAAAGTCTCCTTCTAGAATGGATCCCACCATTGTAAGACCACGTCCTACAAAAAAATACCGTACCACGTTAAAAACAAATTACTCAGACTGAGGCCACAAAGTGTAAATGTCTTCACATTCAGTGTTCTTTTCGTCTTCCAGATTCTTGAAAACACCACACGGCTTTGAAAGATAAAAGTTCCACATAATTACTCACCGTGTTTAAGTTGACTAGCCAAGCTCAAAAGGCGTCTGAATTCAGGCTCTAAATTACTCTTTAGCGGGCAGAGCACAAGAATCTGAGGTCTGTTGAAAGAAGAAAAAGGAAAGAATAGAAAAATTTTTTACTCACAAAAAACTTAAAAAGAACTATTCTAGATCAACATACAATCCACGTGACTAACCTCCAATTCTTGGTGTGAGGTGGACCCTCTTCCAGTCTCATCAGGCTGTACCTGGCTGCGCTCAGCGCCAGTCCCCTGAATCCGTCTCCCCACTCAATCTTTGCCCTGCAGGATTTAAAGTCTGATGTGATTTCGGAACAATGATACAAACCAAAATTTCATTTAGACCAAGCCGCTGCAAAGAACCACTGATCTTAAACAAGTGGCATGTGTTTTCGAGCCACATTTATGCAGATAACTGAAAGTGTCGGGAAAGGGGGTCTTAAAACATGTATGAAGCTCGATTAATAAGCTGGGAAGCTGTCAGTCACGTAAACTTTAAGAACATAGGTCACGGTTTGTAAATCTTGACAAATTTTTAATCAGAAATTAATAAATTCGTCATCTGCAATCCGTGCAGCCCTTCACCCTTGTTCAACCTTGTTTACTATTTATCAACTTATTTGTCTCTATGGTGATTGTCAACCGTCCCACACTCTTTGTTTTACATTGATTTTACAATGGTTTCAATCGAATCAACACTACCTTTCAAAATTTTCCACGACAGAAATATAGAACTAAAAATCCATAAGAAAATACAATATGTGCATTTTTGTCGCGAATCAGTCAACGGACTTACATATGAACGCTCAGTCAGGCAGAAACCTCGCACGAGCCAAAAGCAAAATATCCTTACCCTTGGAATTCAATGTACTTGTAAATAGCAGCTGCTAGTATCATAGCAACAAGAGCATAGTACCAGCTGGAGATGAACATCACAGCCAGACACAACCACATGCCCAGGAAAGACGAACACCTAGCCAGGCAATAACCAAGGTGCATTTGAAAGGTAAAGAGTCTAAAAAAGGGTTCATAGCTGCCAGTGTAGCACGAGGCTCATGGTAAATTTAACCCCAAAATTCAGTAGATTTTCTCGACATAGCTATGCTTCCCAGTTTCTTTCTTGTACGCGCTTATAGCAGGTATTAGAGAGCAATATTAGAGGCAAGGACGAAAATTTACTTGCTCACAACAAATTCCTTGAGTGCCAAAGACCCTAAACTATTAAATCAAATAATTGTCTTCCCCTAATTCACCATACCAGTGGTAATACTTAAATCGCGGCGGTCTCCAGTTTGGGGTCTTAAGCAGTGATTGTAGCACACAAGCCAAGTTGACGACTCCGTAGCACATCAAGAAGAACCTGAGTAACAAGGGAAACAACCTAACATAATTCACAGTGACTATTTTAAATTAACACCTCAACTCCCAAGAAAGTAATTCTCCTTTATAGCTCTTATAAATTACTTTCGACACTAAACTAAAATATAATCGATTTTTTTCAAAAGTTCCCGTTTTTATCAAACTGCACACTCACATTGTTATTATGGGAGCAACTGAGTCCAAGTTAGCAATCAGAATTCCAATTTCTGAAATACAACCTGTCAGAACCAAGGCACGAGTTGGCTCACCAGACTTAGAACCATGAGCAAAGATATTGAGAAATGGAATCAGATTGTCTCTAGCAATGGCCTGCAACAACCGGGGTGCACTGAAATTAAATTCAAATGGGGTATTTATTAAAAACATAGAAAGGTATATAATCCTGAAAATCCACCAAACCGATCATTGGTTCGCATGACCATCTAAGCTGTGTCATACCTTGTGTCCTTGAAGAGAACTTTTGCCACTGAACAATTTGGCTCTCTTTGATAGCTCTTCCTAAAATAATGCACTTGAGGTGCGGCCTCCTACTGATTTCGTTTTAAAGATTTCAAATAGGTCAGGAACCAACTCACCCAGTTAAACTTTGCATTCCTGCTCCCACGGTGGATAGAAATGAACCAATCAGAATCACCCACTTAGTGGGAGGCCAGGCGATCTCAGCTACGACCATAACACTGTTGATACTACGACCAAACCTGGAATGAAGAGGATACCCAGCAGAAGGGAATGACGACAGAAACATTATCATTGATATTTGATGAAGGTACAATAGAATGAAACACAGTTCATTTGCTTTCAAGAGTATAGAGAAGGTAATATAATTACACCCATCCAGTTTCTAAAAGAAAAAGTCATTTTTGACCAAACCTGAAGCTGCAGGTTTTCTCTTCACTGGCAGTTAAAGTGAGAGGTGGGAGCTCTCTCTCTCTCTCTCTCTCTCTCTCTCTCTCTCTCTCTTACAAGGGACTCTATTC